GATTTAGGTTTTAGGGTTTAGAGTTTAGGGTTTAGGGTATTAGGGTATTAGGGTATTAGGGTTTGTGCTTAGGGCTGCTTCACTTCAGGTTGAGCTTGTAGGGTTTTCAGGTTTTTTGCTTTAAGGGGGCGGGTTGTTGAAACTCTAGATCTGCGGTCTGCTTTTGGGGAGTTTAGGGCGAAGGGTTGAGGAGTGAAGGGTTCAGAGGCGTTGAGGCTTTACGGTTTTAGGGGTCTCGGGCTTTTGGGCTGCAGGGTTTATGGGTTGTGGGGTGTACTTGGAGGATCTTGGGACTGGGTAAGTAGGGTTATAAGTACCCTAATTGGGGTTACAAGTATAGCTACCTTGTTTATAACCTCAGTTACTAAGTCCCTTGATCCTTTAAGTAAGGTTTATACCGGGGGTGTAGGGTTTCGGGTCTCGGGTGTTGAGACCTTTGAGCACCCAGCGGCCGCCGCAGTCCCAGAAGCCCATGCGCAAAGCGGTGGCCGCAGATGGCAAGAAACGCTTCGTACTTGTGCCTGACCTTAGGTAACCCTAAACCCTAAACCGAACCCGTCTAGTATCGACGACAGACAGCTCTCTCTTGCGTATCCCGCAGCGGTACCGGGCATGCAAGCCCAAGGGTTTGGTGTCCCGGGGTTCACTTAAGGGTTTGCCTAAGGCGTGTTACGGGTTTAGGTGTGTTGGGGTTACGGTTCAAGCTCGGGGAACACCTCCAGGATTCACTCGTCACATCACGAAAGTGGTGGCGCGACTTGAACCAGCAATGGACTGTGTGGACCGAGATGCTCTTCAGAGAGATGACATATGGGTAGTTCTCTAAATTAGGGTCCTTTTTGGGGTCCCCAATATAGTACGGCACCCTTATAAAAAGGACCCTAATCAGACCCTAATTTAGGGAACTACCCATATCCTTTGGACGGGCAGTGTCAAGAACACCAGCAGCCGCCGAATTGTTTTCGCTGGCGAAAGATTTGGACAATCGCTTCAACTACGATGGTAGCGGGATGATCTTCCGGTCCTTGCAGGTCAGATGTCATGGTCTTTCAGAGTCGCCCACATAGCTTGCAGCTCGGCTTGCAGGCTGTGCAAAACCAGACACTTGGTCCTACACCATAACCCTTAACTGTTTAGGCGGCTTCTTCGGAGAGCTCAGGATGTGGGGTTAGTGGGCCACCCCTGAATCAACCCCAGAATCTGTGGCTGCATCTCCTCGCCCACCAGGTATCAAAATGCAGGATTTAAAATGTCAGGCCCGAAGCCTGATAGCTTGTTGCCCTGCTTGAAGCGCTGGTTCAGGTTTTAGGATTCAGCGTTTTGGGGTTTGGGTGGGTCAGAGGCGACAAGGGTCTCAACCAGACAAGCCCAAGGAGGGTATCTCTTATGCAAAACACAACCTAGTTGCTGGGTATCAGGATTTGTTCAAGCATTCCCTAAACCCTAAACCCTAAACCCTAAACCCTCTTCCCCAGCGGAGGACATGGACTCGATGGTCAGCAACATCTGTACAGCTTTGCAGGCGGCAAAGGGCCGGGTTACAACGCTTGGGCAAAGTTCGGGCTTCTATGCAGGTCCCCAAAGTGCTCAGTAAACGTCCAATACCCGTTTACGAAAGAAGATTACTCATGTTGTAGAGGGGTCCTTTGACTGATCTGGGTCTCTTGCCTATGACAAAAGTTGATGCCGTCATCAATGCCCCAAGCCCTAAACCCTAAACTCTAAACCCTAAACCCTAAACCCTAAACCCTAAACCCTAAACCCTAAACCCTAAACTCAAACCCTAAACCGATCTCAATGAGAAGGCCACGGGTCTCGGCGAGAGTACGTGGCTTCTGATTGAGGTGAAAGGGCCAAGATGGGAGTTTCCGAAAATTAGGGGTACCATATTTTGGGGCCTTTATAATAAGGATTCTATTATTTAGGGTACTATATTGGGGTCCCCTATTTTCGGAAACCCCCAGATCGTGCAGCAGAAGTCAGAAGTTGTCACGGTCGTGATCGCATTCGTCGTCTTCGTCGTACTCGTCGTTGTCGACTCGTAGCGGCAATGGAGCTGGAGGAGCAAGGGGACGTTAACATAATGGCAGCCATGATAAAGCAGGTGAGGTTTGGCACAAGAAGGATATGCAACAACACTACTTAGAAGCAATCCAAAACACTTCTGTCGACGCCTTCCACCATGTTTGCAAGCTTTTTTAAGATCTTCACGAAGGACATGGGCTCTTGTAGTCGTTTGTGACACGCATGCAACAACGCTCGAGACACAGAGTTTCAAAGCCAAAGCCAACAGCCCGTACCATCTTGTGAAGCGCCCCAGGGAAAGCGGATTTAGGGTCCGGGGTTTCGGGCAGACGAACCGCCAGTACTAAAATACAAAGCCGCAAGCCTTCAAATAAGATTTCTACACACCCTACTTGGAGGGTCGGAGGACTTAGTAAGTAGTTACTTTATAGACTTTTAAGTATCATAACTTCAATTAGGGTCTCTTTTCGGGAACATACAAGTCTACTTCCTACCTACCTACTAAGACCCCCAACCCTCCAAGTAAGCAAGAAATGCATCAAAGGGCAAGCCCACCCTAAACTCTAAACCCTAAGCCCCAAAGCTGTATCCAGCAGCCCTTGAACCCCAGCTGCAACCTGAGACTTACAATCGGATGCCCTAGCGAGCCATGAAACCAAGCAAAATCGTTTAAGCTGTTTAGGGTGCAGGGTTTAGAGTGCAGGGTTTAGGGTTCAGGGTTTGGGGTTCAGGGTTTGGGGTTCAGGGTTCAGGGTTTAGGGTTTAGGAATCAGAATCCTTAAGCCCTTAGCTCTTGTGGTGGTAGGAGTCTGATGTTTTGATCATGGAGCCGCCTTACTATATCATCTACTCATGTTCGAATGTATGCAGAGAAAGAGGCGGCACTAGACCCTAAACCCTAAACCCTAAACCCTAAACCCTAAACCCTAAACCCTAAACCCTAAACCGAGACAGAGGCGGCACAGTCTGATCCGGACGTTCAGAAACAACGGCGGCAGGGAAGCTGTCGATTTTTAGGGTTTAGGGTTTTGGGGTTTAGGGTTTAGGGTTTAGGGGTTTAGGGTTTAGGGTTTAGGGTTTAGGGGTTTAGGGTTTAGGGGTTTAGGGTTTCGGGAAGCTGTCGATGTTAGACGTACCGTTGGGCGACGCAATGCTGCCGGTTCCGTTGCCTGGATCCGGAACCGGCATTCCAGTGGGAACTGATGCATGGAACCCTAAACCCTAAACCTTAAACCCTAATGAGCTCCACCTTGCCTGCCTGCCCTTCCGAATCGGAGCAGACTCAGAGTGCCTGCGATGAGTCTCAGACTGCCTCGAGTTCCTCGC